TGAATAACAAAATAAGTCGCTGGCGCTGACGGATTTTACCCAATCAACGTAGCTCCTGAATAAAAAGAGTGGGGATAACGAACAGACGAGACAGTAGTGTCAAATAGAATGAAAGCCTTCCAGCCGTACATAAAGTATTGGTTTTTCTATACCACGTTTCCTAGTAGCAATAGTAACAGCCAAAGGAATTTGAAAAGTAAATTATTGACTGCCGTGATAAGTCCAGTGTATACATTATAATAATATATTTGCAATTTGCCATATTTATGAACAGATAAAATTTATTTATTTTCTTAAAACTCGCTATAAGTTTGGGATGCAATTTTATATTTTTGTCAGGCGTTTTAGTACAACATGTATGTGTGCGAGAGTCCGCAAGCTGCAACAAAATATTTTAGATGAAAGGTTTTCTGAAATGCTTTTTTTAAAAAGATTACTTTTGCTTTTTGAAATTGAAAATATTAAGCTCAATGAGCTCGATGCCACAATGATTATGATTAATCAATTTTCACAAGGGCCAATCATAGTATGGGTGACCATAGTATGGGTGGAAGCCCTTCCAAATTTTGGAAGGCACATTAAGCTGTTGGTGTCGGTCGCATTTGCAGTCATTGACACCCATCAATCTGAACTGGACCTGCGTAACCGGTTATTCTCCCTATTCGAATCCATTGATAAGGCCAGCGCTCCAATAGTGGGAGCATCCAAAAGCTGATTATAATGTTATAAAGTCCATGGATACAATAAAATTAATTAGGAAAGAGTGCAGTTAGTATTAAGTCCGCCTTTTTACCATTTTTTCAAGGGCAATGAAGTTCAATAAATAAATAGATTTAAAATTATTATAACCGCAAACAAAGACTAATAGCGACTCGTGCACTAAGGATACTGTACTGAAATACGTATTGGATTGTAACAAATAACGTCAATAAAGGATTTTAAAAAATCACAGATTTGTATATCCAAACTGTACAAACTCGTAAGTATTTTTAATTCGTTAGTAATGAATGACCGAAGAAGATCGTGAGTAAGTGCTTACGTATTGTACAAATATAATTAAGTATTTACGCAGTGAGTTATTATAACAAAAGTGAAATGCATCTAAAAAAATATAATAGCTTTGATCGTATGCATATCGAAGAATACTTCCTATGATTATATATTTGGAGGAAAATATATTTTGTCATAGAAGATTTTTTCAAAATTTGGAATTAATGAGAATTAAGTAAGCAACAGTATAAGAATACGATAAAATTTAAAAACTATATAGGAAGACAAAGTCAAACAAATAATTTATCAACACTAATCTAAAGAGGCTTCTAAAATTGTCGTTAGAAATCCTATTAAGGTTTCTTTTATTTATGAAGATTTATGAAGTAGGTAACAAACACTAAAAATACTAAAACAAACCAGTTAGTACATTTTTTATCATAGTAATATTAAATTCTTAATGACAAATGCTTAAAAAATCCACTTTGATATAATAAATAGTAATACTAAATTATGTAAATCTAAGATTTCAATACAACAATTCTATTAATATTATAAATATGACAGTTTCTTTGTTCAGATGTGATTTTGATGAATTTTTGTGTACAGACTCCTGTCTGTCTGGATATTAGCTGACTTAGAAACATTTTCCACGCGACCACGCACTCGGGTGAAGCCGCTAGCGAAAGCATGTAATAATGTAAATACATTGCCGTGAGTGCAGGGTCAATAAATAAATACTAATCATACTTAGATACCATTCTATCAATAACTTGGAGTTTTCAATATTGCAAATATCCGATTTCAGTGTAAATATTTTATAAGTATTTCGATTCTTCAGTTCATTCTCCAGAAAATAACCTCTCAATAAACAATTTTCGCCATAATTGCGAGATTTTCTTTGTTTGTTGTGGACTCCATCCAAGCTATGATTGATTGAGGATTATGTGGAAGTGTTCTGAGGGGAAATAACTTCGTTATTTTCAGAAAATTGGGAAGGGAGTTCTGTGTATTTGTGTGATTGTAGGTATTTTTTTCGTCTGAGAATAAAGATCGTTATAAAACACTTTAAACTGGTCATCATTAATAGCCTATTGATGTGCCCTCTGCTGTAGCTAAGGCCTTCCCTATTCATAGGAATCGTATAAAATTAAACAATAACTAACAGTTAATAATTGCTTTATTTTTACTAGCTTTAACCCGCAACTTTGTTTGCATGTATAAGTATTCACACTCGTTTATTTTTAACCAATTTCGAAAAATAGGAATGGGTTTTCAATTCAACTGTTTTCTTATATCCTTATTTTACTTTTTTGTTTCAAACAGTATATTCTTGAAATAATCCATTGAAACTTAGACGAAATTAGATCAGTAGTTTTATTTTAATATGAAAAAACCTAGACAAACTTCATGGCCTAAATTGTCTTAACATGGGCACTCTGAAATACAAATGTTTATTTTCATAAATAATTGTCGTATAATATACTTCTATATTGTAAAAAAATTGGTATTGGACAAATTCAAATTATATTTGTAGTAAGACGTGTAAAAACTTAAGCATCAAATCTTCGCCTGAATAAATATTGATATTATTGAATTTTTTAAAATAAGAATTATTATTCGATTCTTTTGAAGTCGTTTTCTCTACAAGTTTTCGTCAAGTTTACATTCTTTTTAAATTGATATAAAACTAATAAAGTATATAAATTAATAAATTATTCCCCATACAAACTTCTACGGGTCTTTTCATCCTTTCCTAGGATTACTATGAAATCTATTCCATATGTCGTTTATAGTCTTATACTTTTTCGTACCAAATTTTATCTAAATGGTTCTAGACCGAGTTACTTTTGCATTTATATTAATAGAAAGGATAGTAATTTACTAGTAATAAGAAATGTACCACTTCTCTAGTAAAACAGGTAAAGTTACAATAATATCACACAACTCGTGCTAAATAACTTCATGAGCTTGATACCAAATTGAAGGTCTTTTCTTGGGATTTATTAATTTAAATGGATAGTATTTCGAGAGGGTGGTTTTTCTGGTAGCCAGTATAAAAGTATCTTTTAAGTCCTGTACCATTATTCTTTAAAAAAATTCTAACTACAAATCATGTAAAAAGTAGCTTTTAATAACAGTACTACAAATGGAGGGTATAAATTTTCATTAAGAAGAGGACTATACAAAAATTACTGTATCTTCTATATAAGCTACCTTATCGATGGAATAGCAATAGTATGATTTAGCGAATATTTTTTTGTAATGAGACTCGTGTTAGAGTTCCGTACTTAAATGGTCAAAAACGGAACCTTAGTACTAAGAGTCCGTTGTCCATCCCTCCGTCTGTCTATCAATTATAATTTTCTTGAGTATGTAAACTAACAAAATTACTAGTAAATAAGGTCGTGGGTTCGATTCCCAGCTCAGGGTGCCAGGGACCAAGTGAATTTTTTAAGCAATTTGTATTAAGAATAATTTTCAGTATGGCATTGTGAATGCAAAACTAATCAAAATCAAATAAGAACCATATATGTACTTGAATGTATTTCTAATTTAATAAGTTAAATCTGTTTATATCGACATACACTAGCTATACACAGATGGCGCTATTGTTGTAGTTTTTAGTTTAGATGCATACTGTTTTACCGTCTCTCTCTCTCATCTCAAGATGGTATAAGAGCACATACCTACCCCTCTTTTAATAAAAAAATATTGTTTGGATAATTTGAATGAATTTCACCTATTTTAACTGTTGGAGTATTTTCATCAATCATCTTGAATTGGTTGGTTACTAAACGCACTCTTAACCGACCGTTGAACACTTTTACAATCTTTTTTAAATTTGTAGAAAAATCTTAGCACATTTGCCATTTTTTATAAATAATTAAGAGCTCTCCAACTTTTCTTTAGAAAGCATTCATATATCTCTTACCGCTTAGGCAGCGATCACAAAAAATGCGTCGTAACATAGGTATAAGTCAGAATAGACAAAACCTAACACACCAGATATCTCTCAAATGGGCCACATCGGTTGGGTGGGCAGTTCAATGTTAAATATTTTATTATAAATTTGTAAAGAACAGACAACCATATGCCTCTTTATTTAATGCATTAGCCCGCAGTTTCTTTGCTCAATCAATATAATTTCTTTTAGCCTAAAGTAGTCTGATAGAGATTGCTACCTTAACAATAAGGCCTCCTTTTGCGTCTGTGTTCCTAATTATATATGTTTTCATGTTAATGTTTTACTATACAATAAAGTATATAATCATTAATTAACTATCAATCTTTGTAAACTCGACGGAAGGTCCCTCTATTACTAATCGAATATTCTTTTAGATTTGCGTCGATTCCTAGGTTTTTTATTTCAGGTGTCATTAAGCTAATTTTATTACATTTAAGACGTAGTGCATGTAACAAATGTTTTATTTACATATATAAGAAAAAGTATATGTAAATAAAACATTTATTACAATGAAGTTGAATTGACTTCTTCTGGAGTACATTAGGCTAACTGGACTAACAAGGCAAAACTAGAAAAAACATTGCAGTTAGCATACAACGTTTCGCTATGTTGGGTTGTAAAATATTTTTGTGTGGTAGTGATGCCAACACGTTTACCCTAGTCAATTCCAATTAACGTTAAATTACGAGATCTTTCATTCAAAGTCTTTCAAAAAAACTTTGCAAGCGTAATCGCTATATTATGTCAAACAGTTCTGGCATGAAGTTCATTATTATCTTCAAATAATAAAAGGGATTACAATAGATTATAAAATCATCCAATTGGAGAGTAATTTTCTGATTTTAAAATCTGAACCAGTTCTATCTGAATCATCTGTCAGATTGGCAGAACAACATCCAACGAACGAACGAACTCCGCGGGTTTAGTTGCACCTAGACGTCAACCACGGTTATTGGCGCTGACGGCCGCGCGCACGGAGCGCGTTCGACATGCGCCCACTAAACGTGCAATACGTGTTATCGGGGACATACTTGCTCAGCACTATGAACTGGATATATTTGCCGATAATTTTAATTATTTATATAATCAATTTCGGAAATTCCTAAATGACAACTTTACTTCATCCTGATAAAACTATTCTTGTACTATTATTTTTTTTTTTGTTAATATTGATTATTTGTACCTGTAGAAATTCAATTATTAGTTTGTAGATTGACAATGACATTTAATTTTTCATATTTTTGTATTGCTGACATTTAATTCTATTATTAGATTTTTATTGTAATTTGATTTGACCTATATTTTTTGACATTGTTATTAATATTTGATCATCATAATTTAAGTGTTATTATGTCTTATTGTATGTTCTTTATTTAAATTTAACATTTTTTTATAATCTAATCTTGCAAGCGTTTTGGATGGAAACATCTGTTAGCTTTTAAGACTTGTTTGTAATAAATAAATAAATAAATAAATAAATAAATAAAACAGACTAAAATGAATGATTTGTCCAATCCTAGTGTAATTTTGCAATTGTTTTACAAGATTTTAGTTTATACTTTTTATAAAAAATAGGCATAATTATTAGGCAACGTTAATTGATAAGAACTATAAGGCTTCTTCATTTAATATGGTCAACGGGATAAGTATGTATTAATTTACGATTTACATTTATATATTCTGCAATTTCTATAAAAAATTGCAACTTCATCCGTCTTATCATAAAACGAATTATCATAAAAGTTAGTACTTGATTTGAACCAATGGCCGTCAAAAGCAAATTGATAATGACAGAAGAGAAAACTTAAAACTGGGTGTGTTAACTTATTTTGGACGGATAATTGTTTATACCTGGTACTAAAGCTATACCTCGTTTCATAATAAGGCGGCATTTTTACCTTTTCTTTAAAAAAACAATTCTTAAGCACTCGAAGACGCCATACAAATAAGCTGGTAATTACCTTCCTAAATTTGTTTTATTCCTTGGAATGTAAGTACACAATGAGGAACAATGCGAAAATAATACATAATAGAAAATCAATTACTATAACTAAAATTATAAATTAAAAATGGTATTAGTTTTAATAAAAAGAAATATTGTTTCAATGTTTTTTTATTATAATCTATTCATTCGGAATAATTTACAGCAATTAACTATAGTAATTATTTACAATTACCTAACAAATAACACCATTTCGATAGTAAATTTCTATATTTATGAAAACTTAAGAGGGAACGTAAAACCCAAACAATGAAAAAAACAGATTTGCAAACTTGTAACTAAAATTAATTATTATTTTTAAAGTGATTCATAATTCTCGGCAATTTTTTTATATAAAAATGGGAAATGGTGAATTTCAGGGGTAACTTTGTAATTTTTTTTTTCTATTGAGAAAATATTATATGAATTCACAAGAAAATTTCTAAGTAGTTTATAGTTTTGCATAAAGAATTAAGAAAGTCATTTCTATATTGACCAGTAGAAAAAAAAGTATTTTTTGGGTTTACGCGCCCTTTTAAATTACCTATTAAACAGCCAACTTCTTAAGTTGTAAGTAGCAACAGTATAGTAGATACATACAATTTAGAGGCAAGTTGTTTCAAAATGCCTACATAAAAGTTCATTCAATCAATTTTTACACTTATATCAATATTCACAATTTTCTATAAAGTTAACATATGATTTTCCAAGAGTTTATGGTTTGTTAAGTAATATTTGTTTAATAAATCTTTTTCACTGATAATTTTATAAATCCATCAGTCTTTTACAAGGGTTTATGATTCGTGCACTAACAATTACCTTTCCATATTTCATATAAATAATTGTTACACACTTTTTAATTATGAACTTATAAATTCCGTGCCACAATAATTTTAACAACACTTCGTTCATTTCAATATGATCACTCAAATTACATTTTGAAGGATGAATGCGCGATTTACGACTCTCATTTGAGTGTTCGACGTACACTGTGTAAGTACACAGTTATTGAAAGTTATTTTAGTCTGTAGATTAACTAAATTAATAAGCTATTAAATTAATAGCAAGAATCAATATATTAAAATTCAGTTAGGTGAATTTTCTCTTATCTTATCTTTATCTTATCTCTATACACTCTTAAACTTGATCTAGAAGTAAATGGTTGCATTAGTATCAAATAACAAATAATGTGCTATAAAATTATTGAAGAACGGAAATAATTCATATATAACTTCACTCTGCTTTTTTCTTAATAAAACAATGTAATTTATTAAGTAAATAAATAACATTGATACTATTTGTTTCATAAACAAACCTTATCACATTTAGTTTATCCTTAATATATACCTAGTTGTGTAATTTTAAAGTCTACACCTGTCTTAAAATGCTATCTAGGTTTGGCCTATCTCACCTATAGCTAATACCTTGGCTGATTTCAAATAGTTTGTTTTGCGAGGGTGTACTATGAACATTTTATAAATTAGGATTAAAAAGTAAAGCTAAAATGTCGTGGACCGAACTAAAACCTAGCACGATTTTTATAGAGATCTACTTAAGAGGAATCTTTAAAGCGTATTTTAATGAGAACGGATGTCTTAGTAGAAAGCCGCCAGGAAGAAACAAAATTTTTAAAGCGTAAAATCTAGAGATTAAGCCGTTGATTAAAAAAGATATATATACTTTTGATATTTTTTTGTTAATTCAGAGAATTTAATATTTATGCGTCCAAAATCAGTATATTCTTCGTAAAACTGCAGTAATGGTGTTTTGAACACCATTACATATTCTCAGGTCCATTCACTGAATTTGCGCCTATTTTAATAATTCAAATAAATATCCAGTTGCGAAGACACTGAGATAAAAAAAAAATGTTATAACAATATCTAAACCACCAACAGAATAGCTTTTATGCAACGATTTGATATAATAAGAGAACACTATGAATGATTCACACCAATGAAGGAATTTATAAACAATTATTTTCGACTAGGACGCTTTAGTTAACATGAAATTGGGCCCGAGACAACTTTGAATACTAAAGAATTGGTGTACATATCGTTTTTTTTTTCTTGTAAAATAAGTTTATAATTCATAAGGTGAAGTTGGATATTATCATTGAAATTCGTTGATAACGACATGATCCTAATGGAAGATAAATTGTTACAGTTGGATATGTTAAATGAATTTGTACAAAATGAGGATTTTATATTAACTTTACAACTGTGGTTAATTACAAATATTTGTACTTAATTAATTAATACAGTTAGATGATTAAACTAACTACCGGATGTTGTATAAAAACGGCATTAGTGAGGCGACTATCCGCATCACACAGAAGGTAATTGAATCTGAAACAAAAGTGGATTGCAGTATTATTTATTTCTACGTATTTTTATATAAAACCATTAGAGATTATCATAGTATTACCACAGATACACATAAACTATATATCACTAAGTATAGGTAAGTTCTTTAATGATAAATGGTCAGTTGCAAAAACGTCCATTAGGGTTTAATGACGCATTGAAACTCTAATGAATGTTAAATTTGTGTGGGTAATGTCGCTTTAAACAAGTGACAATTTAAATGTCGTTTGTGCAAGTGGTAGTTACTGTATTATCATAAATGATTTGTTATATATCGAAGGAATATACAAAACTAATCAATACTTGTTAGTTTATGGAATTCATCTTGAAAATATAACCTTTCAAACAAATAGTAATAATTTCGGTATTCATAGATACTTGTAAAATAAATATTAGATACCATCGGATACGTGGCTTAGATTTCAAAATGATTAGCAAAGGTTATGTAGTATTTAAAACACCGAAGATCGGGAATTGAACTCAGGTACTTCAGATATAGCAATATCTTGAAACCGGCGTACGAGCTACTTGATTATGTTGGATGTCTAAAGGTTGCCGACTGAGGCATAAAATATACATATAAAAGCAAAAATAGATCTTCCTTTTTTGAAATTGGATAATATATATATTCTGTTAATTCAAAACCATTGACTAATCTATTTTAGTATTGTCAGATAAATAATTCTTCTTGTTTCTAAAACTTATTTAAGTCATTATCAAGGGAATAAATGTTGTCTACTTCCAGTTAACCTCCACGAAAAATCTCCAAACCACCCATCAGAGGCCGCCTACACTTGGTTTTAGGTTTATTTATTCTAAAATTAATTTTATTTGATTACACAATACAACTCTTCAGCTTCAAAATAAAGAATCAATCAAATGCTCATGCGGCCTTTTTTTTAACCTCATCATATAATTAATACTGGAGTATACTCTGCTTTTAGTACTTCTCTAAGAGTAGCTTATTAAATGTTGCATATATATAAATATATATAGTAAAAAAGAAAGTCGCTTGGCGATCTATTAAACCACACAATGGATCTTTGAGTGTATAAACTAGCCGTTTTCCCGCGACTTCGCTCGTATAAATTAAAACCTATATCACCCACAAATTATGTAGCTACTCGTATGTGAAAGAAGACCCAAAAGTTTTGGAGTCTAATCAATACAATAATTTCTGTTTATAATATTATCAATATTGCCGTAAAAATAATATGTAAAAAGAATAAAGTTATCATAATAAGTTTAGGTACAAAATTATATCACAGAGTAAACATTACAGAAGAAATATAAAAAGGATAAGAAACAAAATGGTGTAGATGTGTGTAAAAGACAAGAAAAGGGTCTTGGCTCAGTGCACTAAGATCTTAATAAATTAATCGATTGTTCGGATTCCCAGAGTAAAATCTATCTCTGAGCAAATTTTTATTAATAATGGTTCAGTGGTAGTACACATGACAGATATTTTCGGATTTGCATATATAAAATTAGCAGAAGATATTTCAAAATGAAAATAAAATAATACTTATTGTAATATATTTCTGTAAATGTCGCCTTTTAATCAAAGTGAATTAGAGATAAATTGATATGAATTTGAATCGTTACGCAATAGATTTAATAAAAGACCATCAATCAAACCTGAAGCTCCATTATAAATCAAGATTACTGGAGCTTAAATATATCTTTTTAGATTTAATAACTTTGTCGTGGCTTCGTTAATATCGCGATCTATAAAAACATTTTGCAGAAACATGAAACTTGATCAATTTGAATGTCAAGCTTTGCGAATTGAATATTACTGCTAACCTACAGTCAAAATTTTATTTTTGTTAATAAAATCTTTAAAATGCTCATAATTTTTAGATTTATCATGTGTCCTACATTAAATGATGTAAACGTCAACTTCAATCATTATTTATTGTTAGAATGAAATGGGACTGCTTTTAAATGAATGAAACGATCTATCTAATAACATTGAGGTTTGAAATCAGACCTCAATTTCCATTTTGCCGTGCGAAAATACTCGTATATCTAAAGCGCAATATCCATTACACTTACCAGCACTATTACGTACTCCTAATACTGAAGCAACCTCTGGTTGCTCCATGTCGAATATTAGTTCCGAACGGGCAGCGTACAGGTTGTATATACTGGCTATACAGGTTAGGCGCAAGCTGCCACGCTCGAAGGCTTCGTTCCTAACGACAAAAGACACCTCCCCTGCAGAAGGCAGCCTGTTATCGGGTCCGGTCCGTTCAAAAACTGTTTTTAAATTTTCCTTTGGTGGTCGTCGTATTTCCTCCTTGTGTAAATTTATGTAGGACTCGTCCAAGTACTGTATGTTACTGTCGTCGTGGAATATGTTGAAGTTTGGGTCCTCGTCAGGCTGATCGGTGGTTGTTGTCTCCGATTTAGGTGGTGGATCCCATTTGAACCACTGTGGTAGCTCGTGCACGAACGAATCCATGTCGGTCTGTCAAAAATTATAACAAATTAATATTGCACTCCTTTGTCTTAAAAAAATACATATTAGATATATATATTTTAGTTGAGTAAGCGGCGCGGCCCGCGATCGTTGATGTTAAGCAACTTTCGCAAGGGTTGGTCATTGGATGGGTGACCAAAAAATTATTACCTCGAGCTACTTCGTGCTTCAGAAGGCACGTTGGTCCGTTGGTCCCGGCTGCATTTGCAGTCGTTAATACCCTCCAATTCCCATTGGGCCAGCGTGGAGGGTATTAACGACTGCAAATGAGCCCCACTACAGGGGCTTCAAAAGGCTTATGACAATGATGATTTTAGCTGACAATTTTAACTAAAACACGACTGTTAAAATTTAATTAAAAGTGGAAAAAAGTTGCTCCATCCCTTCAACAAAACTTCTTGGAAATGATACATACATGTATTATATGTGATACATGTATTGTTGGTTATAACAAAAAAAAAAAACAGTAATCTATTCTAACTGAGCAACGTGGCCCAGTCCCAAATTTTAGTTTATATTAAAGTATTCTCGCGATAAAATGTCCGGGAATTATATTTTGAATGTACCAAAACTCAAGGGGCGTGAAAATTACGATGAGTGAGTGTTTGCGGCTCAAATTTTTTTGATATTGTAGGGTGTCGATGTCATGATGATCGAGACGACCGCCAATGCCGTTGATATTCAAAAAGCGAAGGTTGAACTAATAATGACTCGATTCGTCACTATATGTGCAAATTAAAAACAAAAAATCAGTTCAGAATGTGTAGAAGAAATTAACATCGCTGTTCGACAACTCTGGTTTTACACTTAAGATAAGAAATTTGATTTCAATTCATTTGGAAAGCAGTGAAACGTCAGTGCATACGTGATTCAAATAGCCGATACAGCAAATAAGAGGAAAACAGGTTTTGAAATCAACGATAAAATTGGATCGGATCTTTACTTTTGGTGGGTCTATTATTATGATAAGCTATAGGTTATAGACCATTCTGGGATCGCCATTTCAGTTGCCAGCATTAAAAGGAAACTTCTAGATATGAGTTCAGATCTTGGCAACACTGATACAGAATGCACGTTTTTATCTAAACGTTGGCAGAAACATAAAAAATATAGCAAAGTTTGTACGGCTGTTGACGTAAATTCATCTCAATCTGCAAATGTCAAAACAATTAAATGCTATAAATTCAAAAAAATCGGTAATTACAAAAACTAATGTCCTTTATTAAGACAAGAAAAAACACAATGCATTCAGTGCTGTTTTCCTGAATGGAAAGTTTGATCGTAATGAATGGTACATCGATTCTGAACCTAGTTATCATATGATAAATAACGATAATAATCATGAGACCTAACCTAATAACAGTCGCAAATTAAATGAAAGTGCCAGTGATGTGTTCAGGAGACACACGGATTATTACAGTTGTGAAAAACTCAGAATATGATATTGGTGTCAGAAATGTTTTGTGTATTCCTGATCTTATGACGAATTTATTGTCAGTTAGCCACCTGATAAAAAATAACAAAGTAAATTTATGAATATAGAAAAGAAATATGTACCATTAAAAATAAGTAGAATGAGCTAATCGCTTTGGTTGGTAAACGGAGTATTCAGATTAAATATAACATCAACAAGCTTATTAGTTCCATCAGCTACAAGTTCATTTGAAGTATCGCACAGGCAGCTAGGTCACCTTTACAGTAAAAACTTAAATGCTGCAGTAGATGGAGTTTCATACAAATAAAAAGGCGATATCAGTAAACTTAACTATACAGCGTGCTGTGAAGGCAAATTGTCAAGACCTTGGATTCCACATAAGAACAATTGAAGTATTTTTTTTTTTATAAAAACAAGAGATGAAGTATATAGGTATTTTCAAGAATTTAAATTAATGTTTGAAAAACAGATGAATGTTAGCATCAAAGTAATAAGGACAGATAATGGAAAAGAGTTTTATTCGATTGATATCATTGATTATTTAAAGCAGAATGGTATTATTCATCAGCGTACTAATTTATCTTTTCCACAGCATAGAAGAAAATTCATATTTTCCACAGCATAGTTTCCATAGTAGAAAAAGCAAGATGTTTGGTCTTTGATTCAAATCTGGATAAAAAAATTTGGGCAGCAACAGTACACACAGCAGTATACCTTAGTAACAGGTCGCTGGCTTCAGGATTGCACAACAAAACTCCTTTTGAAATCTGGTATGATAAAAACCTGATGTTAGTCATATACGGATATTTGGAAGCATAGTTACGGCCCATGTACCTAAGTAAAAAGATTAAAGTGAGACAGGAAGGCAGTGAAATATTGCTTTGTCGGATATGCCAATAATATAAAAGGCTATAGGTTCTATGTATAATCCTGTAGAATAAGATCATCAAAAACAAATAAGATCATTAGTAGTAAAAATGTCACTATTAAAGAACCAAACAGCAACCAAGACATGTTTCAAATTACTAATTCAGAAATACTGGAATCATCAGCAGACTTAGAAGTGCATGACGCCTTGTAAGAAGAAATTCAAGATTTACAGCAAGCAAAACCTGATGAAAATACTAATTTACAAGTAGTTCTTTAGATGATTTTTTGTTAGAATTCCAAAAGGTACAACAGACACCGAAATGCCTAGAACTTCTAAACGAGAAAGGCATGTTTGGTTAACTGACATGTCTGGGAATCATAATTTAAACATGGCTATGGACCTCTCTAGAGGAAGCTATGAGTGGACCAAAATCTAAGGAATGATGTTTGGCTATCAAGAAGAACAAATTCAATAAAAAAAAATATGCATGGGAAGTTGTGGACAAACCAATGGTACAGTAGTACAGTGCAAATGGGTTTTAAAGAAAGAAATTCAAAATGATATCAAAGTGAAACATAAAGAAAGATTTGCAGCGCAAAGGTTATACACAAAAATCAACCATAGACTATAAGGAAACCTTTTCTTCAGTGCTTTGTTATTCCATCATAAGACTTTTATTTACTTTAAATGTTAAATTTGATCTAGAAACAATCATCTTGATGTAAGAACAGCGTTTCTCAATGGTTTCGACGATTTATACAGTTTATATGCATTTACCAGTAAATTTTGTTTGTGAGATAAGCAAAACAAAGTGCTTGAGTTAAAAAGGGCTCTAAATGGCCTCTAACACCACGAGCATTGTAAAAATGTGTTGATGATCATTTAAAAGAAGTAGGTTATATAAATTCTGTATATGAACCTTGTTTATATTATACTAGCTTTCCGCCAGCGGCTTTGCCCGCGTAGTCTTGTATTATAGTACATAAAAACCTTCGTTTTGAATCACTTTATCTATGAAAATAAAACCGCACCAAAATCTGTTGCGTAGTTTTAAAGATTTAAGCATACAGGGATATAGGAACAGAGAAAGCGACTTTGTTTTATATTATGTAGTGAAGATGAAAATTTTCATAGGCTTATTTGTGGATGATTTCTTGTTTTTTTCTGACTATGAAAGGGAAACAGGTTATCTTAAAAACATTTAGAATCTAAATTTAAGCTTTAATATTAAGGAAAGATAACAATGTTTAGATATAAGAATTAAAAAGGAAAATAATGTACTGACTGTTGACCGAGAACAATTTATAAATTGTTTATTACAGAAATTTAACATGGAAAATTGTAAACAAACAAAAACACCCTTGGAGGTAAATTTGAAGCTTGAAAAGAATAATAAACAATGTCCTGAATATCCATACCAACAACTGACAGGAAGTTTGTTATATTTGTCAATATTAACTCGCCCAAATATATCACATGCAGTGTTACTTAAGTCAATTTAATAACAATTTTAGTGATATTCATTGGAATCATGCAAAACGTATTTAAAAATATCTACAATGTACAAAAAGTTATGGTTTGAAATATGTAAAAGATGATTTAGATCTAATTGGCTATGTAGACGCTGACTGGGCATCAGATTCATTGACAGAAAATCTTATACAGGATATATATTTAAAATTTCAGGTAGTGTAATTTTTATTTGAGTGCAAAAAACAAACAGAAGCTGAATATATGGCAATCTGTCAAGTTAATAAAGAGGCTATTTATTTAAGAAATCTTTTGATTGGATTGTAGTGTAGCAATGATGTCCAGTATTAATGAAAATGATAATCAAAGTTTATATCACTGTTTATAAACTATAAAAGAATAAAACACATACGATGTTAAATATCATTTTGTCTGTTCTGTAGTAAACAAAAAGATTATAGAACTTAAATATTTATATACACTACATATGCCCGCTGACATTCTAACAAAAAGTTAAAGTTCTTGTAAGCACTTTCAGTTTATTAAGCAAATGGACATCATAAAACTTTTCATAAATCATCATAAGGGCATCATAAATCATTATGTATTATGAGTAGTTATATACATATACCTTAGAATTATAAATAGAAATGTGTTTTGTACTTAAGAAATTTTACATTATTTTGTTAAGGGGATGTTTTATTTATAACAAAAAATAAAGAATTAGTCTATGCCAACTACGCAACGTGTTTTATTATGTATGGTAGCGATGCGTAGCGTTTACTTTCAAAGTGCTCGTCCACTGCCTCAGCACACATGCACCGCATGGCACGCAACGCATTGCACGGACTAGTCGATATCATACGCCCATTGCAGTCGCATTTTTCATAGACACACCTATGAAAAATGCTACTGTAAGTTTTAACGTTGGTATTATGCTACTGACGTCATAGGAATTTTTATTATGCATGCTGACATATGGACCTTAATGCTCATTTAAAATACATATTTCAAATTAAGCGACAGTTTGCATATAAAAGGAAGCCCAATTTATACTTTCCAACTTTATTGAAACTCAAGTAATCTAAATTTGAAAAATTTGTATACCTGCCAAAAGTTAAGAATATTAGTTGTGTAAAATGCCATATTGAAGTTCGCTTATCTTTCTGTATGTGCATAACATCCTGCTCTAAAGCCATCAACAGCCGCAAA